AAACTGAGTCTGAATCCCTGGTTCTGGGGGCTCTTGCTGCTGCTGCTGCTGGTGCAACTGGTGCTGAGAGAGCAGCTGTGAGCACAATGTGACTGTGAATGCACCTGCCCTGGCTGGGTGGTTTGGCACCTCTGAAATGGGGATACACAGCCACCAAGAGCTGCTGAACGGGGTGATCTGTGCCCGAGCAGAGCCTTGCACGGGGCTGAGGTAGGAGCCAAGCTGGGGTTGCTCAGCATTTGCTTCCTTGCTCACCTCCCCATCGCTCCTGTGGGTCCTGCAGCCTCCTTGTGCCAAAAAAAAAAAGTTTGGGTGAGCTGGGTGTGTACCAGAGCTTAAACTTCCTCCTCTCCTCCGCGGTGGAGCTGCACATCGTGCCCCAAGGGCCGCCGTGGCGAGGCAGTGACGGTGGCCCTGGTCACACGGCCAGTGGCTGCCTGACCTGGTGGCACGATGGTGCTCACTGGAGCGGGGTGGAACAGCAGCCCCCGTGCCGTGCCGTGCCGTGCCGTGCCGTGCCGTGCCAGGCTGTGTGGCAGGAAGCGACGCGCCCTCCCTCAGCATCTTTGGCCCCGCACCGCGGCGAGTGAAGAGATGAAAACCGAAAACGCAGCGCTCAGCAAACCCCGCTGAAGGCGTTAGAGCTGGAGGCACCCCAGGCGTCGTCAGCCCGGCGCTCGACACCGAACCACAGCCGCCCTCGAGAGCTTCTCCCATCCCCCTGCGAGATTAGGGCGCTGATAGAGCGCGGCTGGTGCCGGTGCTGCCGCGCTCTTCCTGCTGCCAGTCCTCCACAACGACGCGTGGGCTCTCCCCACGCTGCCCCCGGCCGCATCCTTCCCCTGCTCCCCTTCTCCATCATCCCACCGCACGTGGCTGGGTCCCTCCTGCGCCACCTGCATCCCCTGGGAGCTGTTCTGGGCTGTGCTGCCAGGCACAGGAGCATCACTTCGTGTGGGATCGGTGTGGCTTCACTCCGGTCCCTGCGCTGCCCGTGGGGGTGTGGTACCACTGTGCCACCTTCCTGGGGAAAGGCAGCCTTGGGATGGCACCAGGGAAGGGAAAGCTCCTGCTGTGGCGGAGCTGAGGTGGCCAAATTTGGTCTCCAATTTGCCCCAGCAGAAGCTGCGCAGGGCTGCCCGCTTGCCCGTAATTCCTGTGGGACTTGGGAGAGCCGGGCTCAAATAAGAAAACAACTGCCCAGTCCTCAGGGTGATGGAAAACGTGCCTGGAGCCCTTGGCTGGAGGCTCGAAATCTGCCTGGTGAATGAAGAATCCATCCCAAACATCACTTGGAGCCTCAGGGTCTGGTCGGGAGGGTCGGAGCTGGGGTCAGAGCGAGGGGAGAGGGTAGGGCTGGGAGCACCCCCGCTCGGCCCTGAGGGACAGGCGTGTGCGGGGCTCTGTCGCCGCTGCGAGGGGACGGTGCTGAGCGGTGCCGTTCCCACAAGAGGGAGCGAGCAGGAGCGCAGCGAGCGCCGTGAGAGGCTGAGCGGGGCTGCACATCCTACAGTCCTGCACGCTGAGGGGTGCAGCACGGTGCTGCAAGGCGCATTACACACTGCACGGTGCTACACCTGCACGGTGTGACACCCTGCATGGCTCTGCAAGGATCTGCACCCTCTGTGCCCCTGCAGCCCGCGCAGCTCTGTGGCCGTGCGGCAGCACAGGGCTCTCCACCCAAACCAGCCCCACACCTGAGCCGCTCCGCACCCCTCCTAGCCCCCCATCCCCGAAACTCACCGCCGAGCGGCCCCGGCCCCCGGCAGCTCCGCACGCCCAGCATCAGCCAGGGGACACGGGCACGGCCGCGGCTCCCTCTGCAAGACCACCCGGGCCAGGGGCATCACAGTCCAGTCCGCAGCCGAGCCCTGGCAAGGGCACCCAGGTGCCACGGGGGCATCTCCCAGGGATGGTGATCCTTGGGGGAGTCCTGTGCAGGGCGGGGAGTTGGGCTAAATGATCCTTGCACGGCCTTTCCCACTCAGGAGGTGCTCTGACCACTTTTTAAATTTGGGATGCCCCCCTGCCCGGGCCGGGGTCGGGCTGGTGGCACCCCGTGAAAGGGTGGGCGATGCTCGGGGAGTTGCACAACACCGAACGGAGCTGCCGGAGCCTCCAGCTCTGCGCTTCGGCCGCCGTTAACCATTAAACCAGAGCGGGGGCGGCCGCGGAGCCTCCCCCGGGCCCCACAGGCTCCTGCAGGGCTGCGCTGACGGGGGCGGCGGGATCAGACTCCCCAGGGACGGGGCAGGATGGGGAATAAAGGCTGCAGCGGCTCTGCTCCTCCTCCCGTGCTGCCCGGGCGGGTTTTGGGGTCCCGCGGGCGTCCCGGTTCCCGGCTGGTCCCCGGTTCGTGCGGCGTGCAGGGAGACCCGGCGGGCGGCCGTGCCGGGGATGACACCGGGCCCTTGGCCGGGTTCATGAGGGTTTTCCCGGTTTGCTGCTGTTTTCACTCTTAGGAAAGCACCCGGGGTTGGCGTAGGGTGGAAGCGGCACCTCCAGCCCCACCTCCACCAGAGCAGGGAAGGAGCGGTGGCCAAGCGCCCCAGGAGCCGGGCCGGGGACATCGCCTCCCCCGGCAGGGGATCCCCGGGTGCCGCCCCGGCAGCCCCGCAGCCCCCGAGCCGGGGATCAGCCGTGCCGGGCAGCCCGGGGACAGGCGGGGGGGACAGGGGGGACCATCCGGGACAGCCGCACGGACTCTGTCCCGGCCTTCGGGCTGCCGCTGGGTCAATCCAGCAGTGCAGGACCCGGCGCCCCTCGCCGCCGCCCGGCGCTCCCGGCCCCGCGGGTTTTGGGGCAGGTGAGGAGCAGAACGCGGGTGGGCGCCAGCCGGGGCTCCCCAAACACCCCATGCACCCCAAAACCTCGCACACCCCATGTATCCCATGGAGCCCACATACCCCCTGCACTACAGGTACCCCCTGCAACCCCAGGCACCCAGGGCACCCCAGTGCGCCCCAGAACCCCATGCACCCCACGCACTCCAAGCATTCCGTGCACCCAGGGCATTCCATGCCTCCCACATGCCCGGGTGGCCCATGCTCCCCATGGAGCCCACGCACCCCGTGTACCCCCGCGCACCTCAGTGCCCCGAGTACCTCCTGCACCCCTCGCAGCCCACCCACACCCAGCCCCGCCATTCTGGGGGGGTTTTGGCAGCGATTCCTCGTGGTGGGCAGGACTGACGGTGGAATAAGGGACTTCTTTCCTACTGGGAACGGCGCGCACACCCCAAAAGCCCAGACCACACCCCCTTTCTAGCAGAAGTTGCCTGTAACTTTTAGGGAAGCCCTAGAGCTGGCTGGGGAGCCCTACAGGCAAGTTATAGGGGATTTAAAACTTCGGGGAGAATTTAGGGAGGAACCTACAAGTTTTGGGGAGTATAACTTTGTGAGGAGTTCTGCACCGTTTGAAGAACCCCTGTAACTTATCGGCAGCCCTATAATTTGGCGGGGGACACCACTTTTGCGCGAATCCCCCAAATTTTAACGCTGCGTGTTTCACCCCGGTAAGTCCGCAGGAGCCGCCGGGACTTTTGCGGGATGCTCCTCGTTGGCGGGATCCCCGCGTTTATTTGGGCGGCGCCTAGAATCCCGCACCGTGACACAAAACAAAAAAAAAAAATGGGGAACTTTCCACTTTTCGGGGGTCCTCTGCAACTTTTGGGGAGCCCCGCGAGTTTGGCGGGAAAAGGAGGGGGTGACTTGAGGGTGGGCTCAGGGGAGCCGGCGGGGGCTCAGGGGTGTTGGGGGGTGACGCGGGCGGTGCGGTCGGGTTTTTGGGGGGTTTGGGGGTGTTGTTTTGTGTTCTTGGGGGGGTCCCGCGGCAGCGCGCGCGGCGGGAGGGCGGGGCGCGCGAAGATGGCCGCTGCCGGCGGGGGCGTGGCCGGGAGGCGGCGGGGGCGTGGCGGCCCCGCGAGGGCGGGGGCGTGGCCGGCGGCGGCGAAGTGGCAGCGGGCCGCGGCCAATCGGCGGCGCGGACGGCGGCGGCCGCGTTCCCGCCCGCGCGGCCCGGCCAATGGCGCGGCGCTCGGGGGGCGTGGCCCGGCCGGCGCCGACACCGGGGCCGCGCGCGGCGGAGCGCGCTCCCCCCCCCCTCGCCCCGGGCCGCCGCCGCTCCGCGCATGGACCCCCCGCGCCCGCCCGCGGTCCTAATGCCCGCCCGCCGCCGCCGCCGCCCGCCGCCGCCGCCCGCGCCGCCCGCCGCCCGCGCCAACGCCGCCAAGGTACCGCGGGGCGGCGGCGGAGACCGGGGTGGGATCCGGGGGAGGCGGCGGCGGGGGGGTGGGGGGGCGGTGACAGCTGACAGCGGCCCGCCCGAAAGTTTCCCCGCCGGTAAAATGGCGCCGCGATGGGATAAACTTTGGGGGGCGGGAAGCGGCGGAGGGGGGTTTGCGGCGGCGGGGCGCCGGGGGCGGTGGCGGTGGGTCACGTCGCCCGCACGCCCGGCGGGATCGGCTCTCCTGGATCGCCGCCCTTTGGGATCGCCCAGGGATCTCCCGCCGCCGGGATCCGCCCAGCCCCGCCCCGGGAGATCGGCTGGGATCCGCTTGGAGCGGATCCGCGTGCAGCGGGACCGACTCGGTGCTGGATCGCGGGGGATCCGCTGGAGCGGGATCCGCTCGGTGCCGGGCTCGGGCAGCGCTGCCGGTGTCCGGGGCTGGCCTGGCCGGCGCGAGTGCGCTCCCAGCGCTGCGATGCCCGCCGGATCCCGCCAGAGCGGGATAAACTTGGCGTGTGGAGCCATAAGGTGTGGATCTATACCGGCATGTGGGATGTGGCTGCTGCCGCCTTCGAGCTGCGTTGCCAGGCGGGTGTCAGGCCGTCCCCTGGCTCTGTGGAGATCCCTGCTGGATCCCTGCCGATGCTCAGCCAGTGGGTGATGGTGCTGGCGGGGCTGGATCCCGCCGCGGCCCGCTGGGATCCCCTTGGGGTTTGCCCCAGGGGGACCCCCGGAGTGGCTGGCAGGGTCCCACCAGGGGCCTGGGGGCGCTGACCCGGCCCCCCGAGCCCAGCTCGCCATCCCACGCAGGCCGCGGGGCCCCCGCGGAATCCGCCGCCCGGGGGTCCCTGCTGCCCGCCGCCGTCTCTCCGCAGGCTCCGCTGGGATCCCAGGGCTGGCTGCGGGAGCCGCCGCCGCGCCAGGACCCGGCCGGCCAGGAGGCGATGCTGCGGGCGCTGGACGCGGGGCTGGAGCGCTGCCTGGCGCTGCACTCGGCCGTGCAGTGCATCCCCGTGCCCCGGCACAGGTAGGGACACCGGCACCGCCCTCCCACCGGCACCGGCCTCGCCGCGGGAGACGGGATTTTTTCTGCAGGAGGACTTTGGCCGCTGTTGGCCGCGCCGGGATCCCCGGCAGTGAGCGGCTGTCCCGCTGTGGCGGCTCCCAGCTGGGAGCATCACCAGGTTATCTGTTTGCCAAATGCTTTCAGGTGCTCTTGACCTCTTGGGGTTTTTTTTAATCTAAATTTTTTTCCCCCACCTCAAGGAACTGGGTTTTTTTCCACCTCAAGCCATCCCTGTGTCCCTGGGCAGGAGGCAGGTGACAGCACCCTCCAGCACGGTGCTGCCCACTGTCATGGAGGGTTGCCCCTGGCATGGCACAGGCAGTGGCATTTTGGCAGCTTGCCTTCATCTCTGCCTGCTCTGCTGCCTGTGCCATGCCCAGGGGAGCTCCAGCCAGCTGCTGGGATGATCCCTGGAGGGGTCAGCAGCATCTCGGGGTGCTGCGGGGTGTGGGACACCTGTGGGTGCGTTCCACCTGGTGATGCCTCCAACATAGTGGGGCCACTGAGACCTTGTGCCACCCCTGTACCCCCAGACAAACCCGGGGTGGGTGCAGGCCACTGTGGGTGGGAGGTCCTGGCACCTCAGTGGGGGATGGAAAGCGATAGAGGGTGCCAGGGGGCCTGTCCATCCTGACACAGCCCCTCTGCTCTCGCTGGCAGGAAGCTCTCGGGCAAGGCGGGCATTGATGAGGTGATGGCAGCCGCGGTGCTCACCAGCCTCTCCGCCAGCCCGCTGGTGCTCGGGCACCCACCGGCCACTCATGCCCCAGGTGAGAGCACATCCCTGTTCCCCCCATCCCTGGATGTGTGTCCTACGGCAGGACCTGACCTTCCTCTTCCTCCTCCTCACCAGAGCCTGGCAGCGAGGTCTGGAAGGAGGCTCCTGCCATGTCCTCCAGCTGCAGCAGCAGCAGCAACACCAGTGGGGACTGGAGCTGGGACCCCTCCAGCGACCGATCCACCCCCTCCACCCCCTCACCCCCCCTCTCCAGCCACGTCCCCAGCACCTTCCTGCCTGGCCCACTGCCGGATGAGGGCCCTGATGAGCCCGACGGCACCCACTTCGTCTTTGGAGAGCCCACCCCACGGAAGAGGAAGGTGGGATGAGGCTGGGGATGATGATGGGGGTGAAGTTGGGTTTTGGGAATAGTAAGAAGGGGATGAAGAGGAGGATGAAGTTAAGGATGGGGATGACAGTTGGGATGAGGTTGGGTACGGGAATGAGTTTGGGGATAGTGAGGATGGAGATGAGAAGGAGGATGACATTTGGGATGGGAATGAAGAGATGAGGTTGGAGATAGGGATGGGAGCTGAGATGGGTTTGGGGATGTGAGTGATGATGGGGGTATTGGGGATGACAGTGAGGATGATATTTGGGCTGGGATGACACTGGGGCTGGAGATGAGGTTGGGGATGAGGATGAGGATGGGGATGGGGCTGCCAGCCTGACACCTCTCTCCTGCAGAACTCCACCAAGGTGATGTTCAAGTGCTTGTGGAAGAGCTGCGGCAAAGTCCTCAGCAGCTCCTCAGGGATGCAGAAGCACATCCGAACCATGCACCTTGGGTAAGCACCTGGGGTACCCCCTGGACACCCCCAGACCCCCTGGTACCCCCTGCAGGGTCCTGCAGTGCTGGGGGAGCGTGTCCCAGCCAGCCTCTGCTCTCCCCGCAGCCGGAAAGCCGACCTGGAGCAGAGCGATGGCGAGGAGGATTTCTACTACACGGAGCTGGACGTGGACGTGGACGCGCTGACTGATGGGCTCTCCAGCCTCACCCCGGTCTCTCCCACCTCCTCGGTGCCTCCCGCCTTTCCCGGTCCCGAGGCTCCTCTGCTGCCGGCGCTGCCGACCCTGGAGCTGGCCCTGGCCTCCCCCTGCAGCCCCCCGGGCCCCCCCGGCCGCTGCCACGTCCACACTGACCACGCGTACCAGGTGGGGGCACAGGGATGGAGGGGGACTGGGATGGGGGACAGGGATGGAGGGGTGACAGGGATGGAGCGGGACAGGGATGGAGCGGGACAGGGATGGAGCGGGACAGGGTTGGGGAACAGGGATGGAGTGGGGACAGGGATGCAGGGGGACAGGGATGGAGTGGCACAAGGATGGACAGGGATGGAGCGGGACAGGGATAGAGTGGCACAGGGATGGAGGGGTGACAAGGAATGGGGGGACAGGGATGGAGTGGGGATAGGGATGGAGGGGGACAGGGATGGAGCGGGACAGGGATGGAGGTGGGGCTGCTGCACTCCCTCATCACCTTGTCTGATAGGGATTGTGTCCTCTCTCTCCAGGGCTGCCGGACCCCCCCACGGCCACCAGTATCCCCCACTGTCCCCACCCCGCCACCACCCAAGCCACCGGCCGTGCCCAGGTGAGCCATTGCTATCGTGCCCCACCCTGTCCCCTCCCACCCGCGCGTGTCCCGGTTGTGACTTGTCCCCTGTGCCCGCAGGCGGCCGCGGGGGGAGGCCAAGAAGTGCCGCAAGGTGTACGGCATGGAGCACCGGGAGATGTGGTGCACGGCGTGCCGCTGGAAGAAGGCCTGCCAGCGCTTCCTCGACTGACGGAGCCGCGCCGCTCCCTCCTTCTTGCACATTTTGCACTCGAGGTGCCTTCGCGCCCCCCCCGGCCGCCCCCCGGACTCAGGGAACGGCCCCCCGAAAGCTTTATGCACACACACAGCCCCCCTGCCACGGAGCTTGTCCCCCCTGCCTTGTTTTCCCTTTGAAAATAAGCTAAATCCATCAACCCAACCCCGCTCCCTGCCGGGGGTGGGGCTGGCAGGGGGTGTCTGGCTGCTCCCGGCCCCCACTCCGGTTTGGGGATCCCCCCATGGCTGAAATAAGCTGTGTCTGTGGCCGGCAGGGGCTTGGAAAAGGGGGTGTCTGTTCCTGCCCCCCGCCTGCTCCCGGGGGGCAGCCCCAGTGCCCAGGGCAGAGGTGGGCGCCTGCCCCCCCTCGCCCCCCCCAGGGGGGTTTTTACTCTTTGTAATGTCATTTCTCTCTCTCGTTTTGGGGAGCCCCCGCCGGGGCGATGCCCCGGGAAGTGCCTGCAGGAATGCGCCCATTTGCACTAAGCCAAACTGCACAAAGAGGGGTCTTTTTGTTTTCCTTTTATTTTTTTTTTTTCTCCTTCGTGTGGTTTTTATTTTTTAAATAAAATATATGAAAATTGGTATTTTTACCTACTCCCTCCCACAGCATGAGAGCGCGCGGGCCGCGGCGCTGCGGCAGTGGGGTTCCTCCAGCCCTGGGTGGGGTTCAAGGGGTTTAATTCACTTTAAAAAAAAAAAAAAAATTCCCCCTCAAAACCCTTTCTCCCCTTTTGTCCTGTCATTCTCCAGCCCAGGCAGCAGCTGGGGTTTGGCCAGGCCATGCCACCCTGCTCCTCTCCCCATGCAGGGAGGGGACGGGGGGGTGGTGGCCCTGCCACCCACCTGCCCTGTGGGAAGGTTCCCTTTGCACCAGGGACCCCCCCATTGCAGGGTCCCCCTTGCAGGGTCCGACACTGCTTTGGGCCCATGGGTCAGGCTGGTGCTGTGCCACCACTTGTCCCCTCCAGGGATGTGATGTATCAGATCCAAAAGGAAAAAAAAAATAAATACTTGGATTTTTTTTTAATGATTCCTGTTCTTTAGTTACCGTTAAGACAGGCAGGGTGGGCACCCTGGGCCCCTTGGCATCTCCGGACCCATTGCTGTCACCCCCGTCCTGCATCCCACATCCCCCAGGGGTGGCATCACCCTCTGCATCCTCCTGGGAGTTACTTTAATTTCAGATAATGCCCAAAAAATAAGGAAATTGCCAGCAACAGGCAGCAGGGAGGCAGGGAATGAGCCACAGGTGTCTGTTTGGGATGGGGAAGGAGGAGGAGGAGGGAGCAGCACCCCCAGCCTCGGGGTGAGCAGAGCTCCCTGCTCATCCCCATGTTGCCCCATCCTTCCACACATGGCAAGGAGGAAAATAATAATAATTATTATGTATTTACAAAGAAAAAGCAGACAAAATTGTAGCAGCAATTTCCCAATTTATTGAACGGATTGATTTTTGCAGGTATGTCTAAGCTAAATCCCATCACAAAGGTTCTACCCGAGGGGCAGCCCCCGGCAGGCGAGGAACTGGGCAGCAACTAGAAAATAAAATCAGATTTACCTGAACTACATTGACAGAAAATCAGTACAACACAGCATGTTCTCCCACTGACTTCTGGTTACGAAATCTCCTCAACCTCCCCAAAATATTAAACACATCTTCAATACAAACACAGGTTTATAATAATTAATATAAAGTCAGTATAATATAGAATAGTCCCAGCAAAAAAAAAAAAAATCAACAATCTTCAAACACCATCCTTTTTGTGTTTGTTCAGCTTTATTTTTGTAGACAGGTTTAAAGCACGTTGAAAAATAAATATATATGAAAGCATACACACAGCACTCTGTCTAGGGGACTAGAAAAAAAAAAAAAGGCTGAAATTCAAAACACGACTCAGGATCTACAAAATCAAAGGAACCATTAATTATGGCTTTTGTAGGAGTCACACATGTCACAGAATGAGCGAAAATTAGATTATCTTTCAGAATATTGCAAAAAAATTCCAGTTTTTGCATTGTTTTCATGGAGTTTCTTCCCTCAAGGGTGATGTGCAAAAGGGGGAGCTTTGAGGGGAGGTGCTCGGGGACAGTCCCAAAACGCAGCCGCCCACCCCAAAGCCACAGCTGTGCCTGGGGAAAACGGAGTGTTTAAAGGCAGGAGTGGGGAGAGGAAACAAAAGGGGAAGTAATGCTGGAGTGGGTTTCCTTCCGGACAAAAATGACTCGTTTTGTTGTCCAAAAAACTGATTTTTGATTAAAGGAAAAAAAAAAAAAAAAAAAAAAAAA